ATGACAGAAAGAAAGCATTGAAATTTGCAGCAGAACCAAACTTCAAGCACTGCGCAACATTCAATGAAGATTTGGTAGCGACTCATGAAGAAGACAAAACTTAAGTTCGATAAGCCTCAAAGAGCTCGTCAATTAAATCAATTAAAAATATGAATCCTGATAACATTCCATTCAATGCATTAATAATCGCACCAACGAACTCAGGAGAAACAAGATACCTGGTCAATCTCATGTGTACCACTTTCCGAGGAACGTTTGATTAAATCGTTCTCCTCTATCAAACATTCATCCACAACAAGGCGTTTGATGGCTTCACAGAAAATGAAGGGGGCCTACTTATCTTGACCTCACTCCAAGGTCAGATTAATGATTGGCTCAAGATTATCAGTTATGTGTATGAGGGAACAAATACAATGATGATTCTTGATGATTGCGCTACTTCAAGAGGAGTGAAGCAGAGGAGGAATGAACTCATGGATTTGACATTTAGCGCAAGACATAAGGGAATCAGCGTTTGGGTCCTCAAGAAACGGGTGACAAGCATTGCAAAACCACTCAGAGAGAACACTACTGCATTAGTTCTCTTGTACACACCATCTGCAAAAGTTATGAAGATCATTTGCGCGGATTAGGAGAGTGAGTTGAAAGAACATGAGCAGAAGGAATTGATGGCAAAGCTAAAGAGTGAGAAGTATTTACATCTCTTCTTCTCACTTCGCCATCTTTATTGCATTGATTTCGAACTTCCTTGAAAATGTTCTATTTCTTAAACAAAATGGAGATGATTGACATGGAAAAAAAACGCTTTTAGTGATGTTTTGATGCTGATTCTGATGTTCAGCAAGTGATTCAAGCCCCAAAGGGGCCGGCCGCATAGTGGTGGAACATCATCAGCAACTCGCTATTCTCGTTGCAAGTGGTAAAACAATGGAAAGGATTGGTGTATCTCTCAATCAGGATCAAGTCATGAAGCTTGCTAAAAAAGATTTTGAGAAGTACTTAAAGATATATGAAGCTTCTTGTCTTCAATTGATACATTTCTTCAGCTCTCATGTAAAGGATTGGCTCATTTTCTTCCTGTTGGCGAAGGAAATCTTCTGAAGGACTTGAATGATAACTTCATGGTAAAGAGAGAACTTGGAATGATTGCTGATGGATTGATGCTAAAGTAGGGAAGGTACATGGCAATTGCAAGTGCTGCTCTTCTCATTGCAAAAATTGTTGAAGTACCCTTGATCAATGATAAGGAAACGGATAGTAATTGTGAAGAAAGTGAATACATAAGTTCTTATCAAGTACTTGAATAAGAACTTTCATAAGAACTTAAATAAGTACTTGAATAAGAACTTTAATTTTATATCAACAAGTAAAATGGATGATTAAGTACCTAGGACTAAAGAAGCACCAGCTCAACAAGTGACTTCAATTGATAGAAATAAGACAGGACCAAATAAAGGCCCTAGGCGTGTCGCAGCTGGCAAAAAGCTTGCTGAATACAAGAAAAGAGTAAGAGAGGAAAAGAGGAAGAAAGGTGGTTCATAGCAATCCGAAGATCCGAAAGATCCAGGCCCTGAAGGGGAAAACTGCGGAGCGACAGGATTACAACCAGCTTACTGTAGTCTCCTTCGCAGCCGTTGTTTGGTCTCGTGACACAACGCCCTCTATTTCTCGTTTGCGAGAGAGCACGTCGCGTGACGAAACCAAATAGCGGTTGCGAAGGAGACTACGCTTACTGCCGTTCCGTTTACAGAGAAAATAAAAATTATTTGTCTACACTTACTCACCTCAAAAATATAATTCTACCAAATTTTATTATGAAAAGCAAACTGAAACTCTGCTGTACCTCTATTAGACCCTAACCACAGATATACTGTGATCTCGTACAAGTGAAGATATATTCAGTGAACAAGGGAAAAGGATAAGATTTCAAAGAGGGCTCCCGATTGGTTGTTCCCTTTGCCCTCTGTGTGTGAAATACGTGATAAGATGCACGTTGTTTTATAAGAAACACGCGATTGGGTTAAGTCCAAGGTCGCTTAAAGCAAACTTTATTCGTAGAAAAAGTCAAAACGCGGAAGAACTTCGTGGAAATTTCACTATTAGTAGCACTGAGTTCCGTGTGAAATGTTTTCAGTGGGGTTGGACAATGCGGTTAGAATACGTGATAAAATGCAGGTTGTTTATAAGGAAATGTCGTGTGAAGGATTGAGTTCTATTATGGCAAAATGGAGTTTATAGGAAGAATACAATTCAAGCACGTGGAAAATTGCCTAATGTTCATGTAGTGCAACGGTTGTTCATGTTCTGGTTGGACTTTGGACTTTGTTTTCATGGTACGTGATGGAATGTAAGTTACTTGGCGTGTGCGTTGTTAGTGAAGGAGCGAAAATAACGTTTAACTTGAAAAATTAAAATGCGAACCTTTCATATCCCGATAAATCTCGACCTCGTTAAATAAAGGTTATTGTATTGTATTGTATTGTAAGTCCAAGGTAGCTGAAAGTGAATATTATTTGTAGAAAAAGTCAAAACGCGGGAGAACTGCATTGAAAATTCACTATCAGTAGTAGTAAGTTCTATGTAAATTTTTTTCAGTGGGGTTGGATAATGCTGTTAGAATACGTGATAAAATGCAGGTTGTCTACCATAAAATACCATGTGATGGAGCGAAGTCCGGTGTGGCAAAATGGAATTTGATTGGTTGAATAAAATTTAAGCTCTTGAAAAATTGCCAAATGTCCATGTAGTGGAACAATTGGGTATGTTCTGATCGGAAGTTGTTTGGCGTGTGCGTTGTGAGAAAAGGAGCGGAAAAACACGTTTAACTTAAAAATAACAGAATAAAATTAATGCGAACCTCGACCGAATCTCGACCTCAATAGACGAGGCTCTAGCGAAGGCGACAACCATTACAGTTTCAGACAAGCCCAAAGTTTCTGGTGAACGTCACTCTTTTTGTACGGCCCCCTGATTCCATGAGATAATTTACAAGAAAAGAATACCCAAACACTGTGATTGGAACAAGATATCCAAATTCTATGATATGATTAATGCGAGATACATACCCTAATGCGACAATCTGATATGTGCGAGACACATACCCTAATGCGGCAATCTGACTGGTGCAAGATACATACTCTAATGCGGCGATCTGATTGATGAGAGCAACATACCACTCGCTAACATGGGGTTACTTCATATATATATATATATATATATATAGAATAACTGAAAAAGTTTGCGAACACTTTTTTTAAACTCCCCTTAAAGTTTCCCTACCACTGGCTGTCTCGAAAAGTAAAAGAAAAACGATTGGTCAAAAAGATTTGTTTAGGAGATATAATTGGCCAGACTTACCCATTTAAACCTGTACTGGCACCAATCACGCACGTCATTTGATTGGTTCACGGTACATTTTACTGCAGCGGGAAACCAGGGTTTATAAAGAAACATTTGAATAGAACCAAATAGGTAGAAATTATCGGGCGTAAAATGATCCATATAGATAAATAGTTGAAATAGATAAAGTGGTCCAACCCCTTAAATTGATCTGACTAGATAAGATGGTTCAACTGCTAAAATGCGCCCATTGGTTAAAGTGGAGCAACTGCTTAAAATGGTTTAACTGGATAAAATGGTTCAATCGTTCAAAATGGTCCAAGTAGGTAACATGGTTCAAATAGCAGAAATGGTCCACATAAACAAATCAGTGGAAGATGTTAAATGGTTTACTCGGTTAAAACCATATTAATAGATAAAATGTTCCAACTGCATAACATAGTCCAAGGGGTTACGTTGGTAAGCCTGACTAGATAAAATAGTCGAGCTAGTTATAATCATTTAATCAGGTAAAATTGTCTAACAACAGAAAGAACACAATTGGTTAAAATGGCCTAACTGGAAGATGGTTTGTCTAAGAAAATAATCTGACTGGTTAAAATAACGCAGCCTGTCAAAATGGTCCATGGTTAAGAATGGTGTAACTAGCTAAAATAGTCCAAACAATTGAAAGTCTAGAAAGATAAAAGTGGTCAAGCCGGTAGAAATCGTCTAACCAGCGAAAATGGTCCAATTCGTACACATGGTCCAATCATTCAAAATGATCTTACCATGTAAAATGATCCAACCACTTTTAAATGGTTTAAAATGATCGAACTGGTTAAATTGGTCAAACCAGTTAGAATGGTCCAATTGCATAAAATGGTCTAAATCGGTAAATGGTCCAACTTGTTGAAATGGTCCAATTGGGAAAAGGAGTTTTAAATGGTCTGACCAGTTTAAACGGTCTAATTAAAAAAAGTGGCTAAACTCGTTAAAAGAGGGTAATGGGTTAAAAATGATCATACTGAATAAAATGGTACAACTCGTTTAAATGGTCCAATCGGTTACAGTGAGGTAGCTAAGTAAATGGTTCGATGGTATTCACCCACTTGCTAAGTGATGGCAGGGCATGAACTTCACTTGAAATTTTACAACACACAGGGCATGTTCTTGCAAGTCCAAGCAGATATACAAGCTCAACAATGATGCGATCACTACTCACTAATATAACAGTCCATTAATTTTAATAAAAAATGTGCCCACTTGAACTATTGATTGAATATAGCAGCCTTGCAAGTTGTTTTAAAACAATGCAAACAGGAGTTGATCGTCCAAAAACCCCAAGTCGAGGATAATTAGCAAACATTTGTTTAATGTTGAACTAAAAAAAATTCAAACTTGAGATGCTTATGTACGAAAAAACTATTTATTGATTTGTCCGTGTTGTAGAAAAATTACAAGTATTTTTCCTTGAAACATTTTCTGATTCAGATGTAAATGTTTTTAATTACTTTATACACCCCTACACTTCCCTCCCGAGTGAGAAAACTGGCCATTTAAAATATATTTTGTAAGTTCCCCAATCCGTACTTTCAATTAGTATTTCTTTGAAGTTAGATTAAAAAAAAATTACGTCCATGCAGTTCAGAATCACTTCACATTTCTGATAACTTAATTCATTTTTTGGGTAGAGGCCCATAAAGCTTTAAAAACTGATAAAAATTTATTTTGACTCATTTTTCAAGGAAATATAGGAAAAATAATTTTAAAGAATAAGATTACCTATGTGAGAACTCTGAGGTGTACAGGGTAGAATAAGTTACATGTGTAGAAAAGTAAGACTTCATAAAAAGAAAACTAGATCAGAACATTTGCTGTTTGTTAGTTTGCATTTTTTAATTGCGTGATGTATTAAATCCTGTCATACCATTTGCAGGATGAAAAAACCAAGTGTACTTCTTACGGTTGCATTATGAAATAAATTGCTTTTTCATGAGTAAAATTCTTTCAGCCCCAATTGCAAAGGGACACCAGAATGGTCTTTTAAACTAACTTTCCCCGCGTTTCTGCTTATTGATACGGCTTATAGTTGCTTGAATAATCTCTCTAGGTATGAAGATTGCAATTCAAAGGTAATCCCAAAGGCTCGGGATGGAAAGCCCATTATTCAGTACAGTCAAACATGTCAAAAGCGATCATCCTTAAGGGGTATTAGCCCTTACTGAATTTGTATATTATCATTTTTGATTTTGTAGTGACACTGATCTCAAATATCTACAGACTAGACAAATCTGTAAGGCTAATATTCTAAGATCTGTTCTTCCTCTGGAGAGACAGCTTCAGATAACACTTGTTTCCTGATGAAGATAGATGAAGTGTTAGACTAGAAATTTCAATGTTTAAGTGAGTACTGGTGAAAAGAAAAGAGCTTGGCATACATACATATTCACATTAAATCCAGAATGCCAAAATAATTTGCTTTATGGTCTAGAAGGGTTTTTTTGAACGGGGGAAAATTTGGCAATACTTGGGCAGTAACAATTTTGGTTCGTTATTCCATAAGTTATGATGGTTCAAAGGGGATTACTTGAATATGTTGAAAACATTCTAGGAACAACATTATCAGGTTGCCTTTCCAGTTTTCAAGTTTAATGACCATAACCAGTAAAGCTAACCAGTGTGTTGGTAAAAAAAAGTAAGTATGTTAGTGTGTAAGAAAGTAAGTAACTAACTAAAACCTCCTTAGGTAAAACCTCACAAACCATGCTGGTCTCTGTAAAGTTGGTTTAGAAGCTGAGTATCACTTGTTCAATACCTCCAAGTAACATACTTGTTTTTAGAAGGATCATATCTCATGCCTCCCCTAAGTAGGTGGTTAACAACCCCCCACTCAACATAATAAACAGAAATCCAGACCTGTAATTTATTCCTAATATTTAACTTGAAAGCCCCCCTTCCCCTAAAACAATGTTGAAATAAATCAGAGACCATTTTGTTTTCACCAAACAACATTGAAATGGAGGAGAGGGGAGATCAATGAAAAAAAAGTAGTAGAGTGTGCCAGTACTTTAGCCACTCATTGTAACAAAGTTAATACTGCAACTTCCTTGATCAAAGGAAACCTAATATGTGTCATGCACAGTTTGTTGTTGTGACTGGAATTAAGTAAAACTTGGGAAAATTATTCACTCAATCTTGCATTAGTCCTTTGTAAGAGCAAAGGGCTATAACCCCTGAAATGTCAGCTTAAAAACTCTTTACAGTGACTAATTTACATGATCAACAGTTGATAATACCCAATTATCTTGTTATACTTCCCCACTGATGCAGCACTACAGTTTCTTTAGAATCTTGCCCCCTTTATTCATTTGGCTATGTTTAATTTGACTCTCTGGTGCCATTTCAATCAACACTGATAGTAGGTTTTTGAGTAAAAAGTCCTAAGAACTGCACCACATTACTAAAAACAATTATGAATCTACAACAAAGATCAATAACATGTACTTTACCTTACACGTATTCTTTCACATTTTGGGCATTTGCCTTCAACAAAACATTCCTTGTGAAATGATGCCCGACAGCCTATGTAGAGCAATGATTTAAGAGGTCTAACAATCATTAGCAAACAAGAAGACCACACAAAAAAAATTGAATGAAGCTTTCAAACTACAAAGAACATAATATATTAGCACTAGCACCACCACAACCTGGTTTAATCTGAATAATTTTAAAGAAATCTGTGAATACACTCAAGCAGTATTTGGATCAATGGATACTGTCTTTTAAGCAATGCCTTGTAAATTGTGTCCATATTGAACAGGGCATTCACTACAATAGGAAACTTTTTGCAGAACTACCTATGGAGCTTTAATTTGAATACCCATCCACTCAATACTTAACAATCTAAACTATGACACAGGGTGCTTCCTTCTGAGACAGAGAATAACAACAGTGACCTCAACTTTGGATAAATAGCAAATAACATTTTAACAGTCCAAGCCTCTGTTTAAAAAATTATAGGACAGTAATGCACCTAAACATTGCACAACTCTGTTCAGCATAAAAGGAAATATGACGTCTTTCCCATCCTTGCAATATTCACAGATAAATCCTTTGGCAAGACACAGCTGTACAAAGTTGAAAAAAGAAAAGACAAAAAAAAACTTAGTGGTGAACTGCAGTTAAGGGGCTAGAGAACTATAAAATATGAAAACACCTTAACCTTGTAACAACCTGTAGAATATGAATATGTGAAAAATACAGTAGTTTGCTGGCCAGTGCTCCATGCGACTTCACACACATATATGTGTGAAACATATTAGCTTCCATTTGAATGCATATAGTTGGCACAATATGGGGAGTATGTATTGAATATTCTTTTTAACCCCTTTAATGTCATAACAGGAACCATACATGGACATGGGTATCATAAAACAAGGTTGTTTTAGTAAACCACAACCAATTCCCATTTTGCTTGATAGGTCACAGGTTAGAATGCTGAAATGTCCTTGCAGGATAGTCACTGGTTTGAATTCAGCCTGAATTTTTCCACAAATCTGAACCACCTGAAAACATGTTCACTTCATACTCTGTCTTCAAATGTAACAAATTCGAAAAGTCTTTGACAAAATTTCAAATAATCACTTCCAACTACAAGGGCAAGTCACCAGGGGATTGTGTACACTGCAACAAAAATGTCAGCCATTAAACATGAAAGGTTGAGTTCAATATGATTTGGGATGAGACAATACAAGTAGAAGACCTATGTACTTTCCTCAAGAGGGATAAGCACACAGGGTAAACAACATCAGTCAATGAAATCACAGAGATTATGATACTCAAATTAACCAACATCTCTAACACAGGTTCTTTATCTACATCAAAAGCAATTGTGATTTTAGAGACACTCTTAACCAGTGAGAAAGGGGTCTCATAGGAAGTACTTGTAGACAACAAATTGACTGACTTGATTGTCTTAGCTGAGTAATGTAAGGTGAACAGTCCTAACAAAGTGTGCCATCTACACTGATAACCCTTGGATTGAACTTTTCACATCGCAAAAAGCAAACAAGTTAGTGCAGAATAGAAAGGAAATCAAGCAACGACTTTCATGAAGCTAAATTCTCAAATCAAATTTACATTGGTTTGCACACTTTAAAAGTTCTTACTAGAGCCAGTTGGGCATGTTTAAGGTTAAAATGGTTGCCACAGGAAGTCGTTACTTTAATAAGAATTGATATTACACAGTTTGGCCCTGTATGAACCAAATGAGCTTGGTAGATAAGAACACTTAAAATACCAATCAGATAAGAGCGTTTTTTTACCAATACAACTTGCCTTATTATTTGTCATACCTGACAATGATTGATGTGATTAAGAGATTCTACTGCTAACTTATTCAAAAATTGGTGTAAGTCCCCATCATGCACCTGCAAGATACAGACCAATTAAATAAAAATAAAATAGTTTCATTCTAATTGTATTGTTACCTAACAATTGAAAAAAAGTATATCTTAATGATGAACCTGCTGGTCATTTTAGCTTTTTAAGGGCACTCAATACTATTCTTTAGGTCTTTAGGCTGCTACAATTGAACATTTAATGACTCAATGTTGTTTTCCTCTTGTTTAACTAAATCAGTTCAAGTTCAATGTGAGTGCAACTCTTCTGATGCTGTCAAAGGAAAATGTCACAGACCCACAACAAAAAAATCAACTGTTTTTGAGAAAGCATACCCTTTATATATTAGTGTCCTGTTGATCAGCATGCTTATTGGAAGAAATTCAAGTATGCCTTCTACATTACAGATACAGATCTTTATTGAAACTCCCTAAATGGGTTTTTCAGCATCAATACAAATGGTAAAAAGAAATAAAACAAATTAAAGAATATAAGACTGTTGTTACAGCTAAATATATATATTAGAATAAAAATAATGAATAATGAAGTTAACCTAATAACAGCTTAGTAAATCAATGCTTAAATTTCTAGGAACATTTTAAACACTTAAGATTGCTGCTTAATGAGTTCTACAGTTTTGCTCCTCTATAAGCAAGAGACCTCTGACCAGCTGAAAGGTGGCAAAAAGGTATATCCAAGGTACTAGCTAATTGAGTTTGCCTGTCATGAACACAAGAATGTAGCCTAGACTTATTTGCAAGGTAATCCGGGGGAAGATTATTAATGCACTTGAAAATCATAGCTGCATCAGTCAATTTAAGTACATCTTTAAAAAGGAGCTTTAGTCCTACAGAAATACAATCATTTTTTCTAGGCCCCAGAACAATTTTCTGGCAAAGTTTTGAACTTTTTCTTATTTGTCAATGCTGATATTGCTGGTATTGCTCCAGATGCTTGAGCAAGATAATAATTTGCTAAAAACCAAGGCACTCATAAGTAGCAACAGCATTTTCCTATTTATAAGATGTTTAATTCTACTGATTTGTTTCAACTTAAAAAGACAGTTTGAAACACTCTTAGTAATATCTTTGTTATAACTGAGGTTTGCATCCAGCTGAACACCTAGGTCTTTGGCATCAGTCTCAGGTGATATTTGTTTATTAAAAAGTATTAGTTTGAATGATGGAAGTCGCTGCAGTAGTTGTGGTACTCCAAATATCAGAACATTGGTACGAAACTAAAAATATGAAGACAAAAAAAAAACATTTTACCCAGTTTTTATAGCATAACTTTTTTTTTGAGATCTTAACTCCAAGTTTGCATTTTAAGCTACAACCCTCTTTTATGAACGGTACAATTTTGTTGTGTGTGAAATAAGAGAAGAAGAATATGGTGACTGATTTGTTGAATATACCATAGTTGACAAAACTGCCATGAAATGGCTTTATCACTGCATCTCAATTATTTTTCATGCAATTAGAGAGTTAAATAAGGTTTTATGAAAGTACTTTTTGAATGTTTCTTTACTTTTGGCTTCAAGTTTGCCAAACTATGGGTGTAGTTTCCAGCCAGAGAGGTATTTTAGTTGAGTGAGCACATTTCTTGATGTTCTCCACATGGATTTCACTCAGAGCAAGCCTTGGAAGTGACCTTTGAAGTCTTGAACTTGCATTAAAGATATTGTTCCTCCAAATAGCCTCCAATGGTTTGTTATCTATTTGAACTCTAATCAGTTCACCAAACACATAATTGAGCAGTCTCTTCATAGGAAACACAACTCATAATAGTTCTCTCTCACTGTTGGAATAGGGCTACTCAGCAGGAGTCAGTTTATAGTACTAAGATTACTGGTGTACCTTCCCGTTGCAGCACTGCTCTCAAACCTTTCAAAGATGTATCTGTCTGAATGACAAGTACAGCTTTAGAGTTGAAATATGCAAGCACTGGGGTCTTTCCTAGTTTGTCTTCCATTACCACAAAGGCTTCCACTCTTCATAGACCTCCATTCAACTTTCTATCTGAGAAAAGGCTTAAAGAACTTAGAGAGCTTTATCAAATTGAGAGAAAAACATTTCTAATAATTGGTCATGCCTTGAAAACTCTGAAGACACTTGTTTTTGTTCAGTGCACTCATTTGCTTTATGGCATCCACTTTTCTACTGTAAGTCTTTCTACCTTTGAGTGTCAAGATGTGGCCTAAAAATGTACCGGTACATTTGGTTGACTTGAACAGCAGTTTTTTCAGATTGACCTTTTTTCCATTCATCCACATCCCTCAAAGGGTTGATAATTCCTAAGCTACAAAATCTATCTAGCTTGCCTTTGTAAGCCTGTTTTTTCTTCTTGCATACTGCCCTGGACAGGTACTGCACCACCTAAGCATCAGGCTTGACCTGAATGTGCTACTTACATTCTGGCAATCAAAGCCTTTGACCACATCTCTATATCCTAAGATTTGGACTGAAAGAGATACAGCATATGAGTTCCTCAACTCCAAAAAAATTACACATACACAAAGACAGTGCATTTTCCCCAGCACTCAAGTTGATCTCACATTCAACATCGCAAATAAGTTCCCTATCAGCTGAGCTCAACCAGAGTGGCTTGACGCGCCTGCTTAAAAGGGCATTAATGCTCTTGATGTGATACCTTTGTAAATGGTGAAACTGTTGGTTAATTCTAGTGTTATTCTAGCAGTTCCAGTGGTGTGGAGTTGGCTGATAACTGGCTTGGATTGTTTCTTACTTGGTTTTGCCTTGGATTTGCAACACTTCATGTACTGCCTCTTTTTCTACAGTTGTGACATACCACATCTCTGGCTGGATGCTTAGATCTGAGATGAGCAGGTTTAGCTCTACTTAGCTTTTGGAAGGATTACTTTCTCTCCAAGTCTATTCTTTTTGGAGCGTCTTCATTGTGTCATCCTTACATAGTTTTCCTGACCTATTGGTTTTCTTGCAGATTGTGAACTTCACTTGATCTTTGCTGTGTGGCTGTGACTGCTGTTGACACCATACTGAGAGTTGGCATTATGATCTCTGAGAATCACTGTTGTAGATGTCTGTAGCAATCACAATGACCTGTTCCACCTCAAGAATATCCTAGTTTTCTTCCAAACACTTTTAATACACCAGAGCCCAAGGAGAATTGCATTTCTGAGTGTGATGTCTTTCTCATCTTCTGGCCATCCACATGCTTCTGTGACTTGTCTCTATTTTGTGCTGTTTATTATTATTTTTTACAAGGTTGTTACACAAGTTGACATGCAAATTTTTGCATGTCAACTTGTGTAACAACCTTGTACCGAGTAGCTGCAACAAGTTTGTTCCCTCTAGGTTTGCCATGTTCCTCCAGTTTCTCTAGTTGGTTTTCCCACTTCTTGAGAACACCTTTGAATAACGTCACTTTCTAGAGAATTTTCTGATCTCTAGACCTGGATCTGCTTAAATTGTCTTCAAACCTTTGGAGAAAGGAAAGAGCTTTTTCCTCCATTCCAGGAGACTCATGCAGTTTTCAATTGTTTGCCCATTTGAGAACTGGTCCTTTTGACAGTACTTCCATCACTGTTCAGTCTTCTACTATTGCCAAAATAAAACTTATAGGCATTATGAAAGCCGACACTAAGTTTCATTATGCTACTCTGCCAAACAGTTATTTATATCATCAAACTTTAATAAGCAAAGCTAAATTCATTAAGAATGAATTGTAAAAACTACATGCACCAATACCACACAATAATTATTCCTAGCAACTCTGTTAAAATATTGCACAATACAAGTCCATTAACCATAAATTATTTGGGTGCATTCCATATTTGGGTATAGAGTTGCCAGTATACAGAAGCTCCCATGACTGCCATGATCAATGTACTTCTGTTTTCCATGTTCCTAACCCATGCACAAGCTTCCAAGGTCAACCATTGTTGAAGAATTCATCATAAAACCAATTCATTTTTGTTCTTTATACTGAAACATACATAATCAGCTACATCACCATGTAGGACCTCTAAGTGGACTCCACTCTTACATGTTCTTTAAAACACATTCAAATCACCTGCAAAAGGTCGTGTAGGGAATAAACATGAGGCTCTCCACAAATATGATCTGGAATCTTGTTGAACTCTTCAGCTAATCTGCAAAGACAAATTCAAAGAATCTGAGATACAATTTTGGAGTTACAAATAAACAGAAAAGTTGGTGGAAAGGAAGAAAAACAGATGCATTGTTAGTATTGAAACGCTGCCAAGTGATACATTTTCTTCTTACTACAACTAAGCATGCAGGCCCTGATGGGGTAAACCAAGATCATGACAGTAAGGAGCAATTAAGGCAGCAAAGTTCATGAATAAACCACCAAGGTACTATATTTCCCTGTATGCTTCAATTAGACTTTGTTAGTAGTAGTCTTCACTGGTCACTTCAAGGCAAATGGCTTATGCAGTTGGACTGTGCAAGTGGAAAATTCCCCAACTATAGTCACATCTTCAGTACCCATATAACACTTAATGAAAACCCTCAGTTTTCCCAGCCATACTTGATTTGTGCTTGAACCACAAACTCAGTATTTAACCAAGAACAAATACAAAATACACATGAAAGAAATACTGGGATTGCCAGCATCTTCAACATTCTACACCCTGCTCATAACCAATAAAACTTTTTTTCTGCTAGTAATTTGTTTTACCCTCTAAGAGATGAGCCAAAGTTTCTAGTATCTTATGATTCTTTTAAAGAATGACCCTTACTCTTCAGCTTTACGGCATGTTTGAATAAAGGACTTGAAAAAGTGAAGTCGTCTACGAACATCCTGACAAGAGATAAAATATTGCATCAGGCACGATATACATAAAGAAAAAAATAGATCATTAGTGTGAACCAAATTACCTTCAATCGTTCTAGAACTCGAATACGCTTGTATAATGAGGGATTGAGATCCATCAGATTAAACAAAGGATCAAAGCATATCCTGTGCAGTAAGTCACGTGCAAAATTAGACACCTCATATCTGATGTCAAGTTATGGAAACCCAGTGAAACAGCAGTAAACATAGGTAAAAGAGGAGAATGGTTTCAAAAGCTGACAAAATTTATAGATTTAAACTACATCTTGAGTTCAGAGCTACCTGATTAATCACAATCTTTTGTTACGGTGTACACACATTGTCACATAGTAAATAAATTACACATTTGGTCTGCAACATTGACAGGATTAGAAATCTAGTGAACATTGTACATGATTAACCTGTTTATGAAAACTTATCAATATAAAGACACTCATTATTAAGGTACACAGTCATCCTGCCACCAGTGAGCTTGCCACCAAGGCAATCTTGCCACCACCAAGTTGCCATCAGTAAACTGGCCACCAAGGTCGCTAGCTAATTTGGTATAAATTCAAAGCTATAAGTGACTCTTAAGTTTCATCTGGAGTCTTGCAAACATTGCCATTAGAATCCCATGAGGAATACTGCAAAACTGTGCTGAAGGCTCAGTAGTTCTTTTGAGATGGCAGAAACAATAAAAAGCCACCAATTTGATCTGACTAAAGAAGATATCAAACAGACTACTGAATGATGAATTCTAGCCTGAGAATATTTAGAGTGTTCATGAAAGGAAAGGTAAGCCAAATTGACTGTAACTTTCTACTTGAACAAATGAATAACAAGATCGACAAGAAATGTCAGTGATGGCATGCACTTTTTCATCAACAAAACAAGACTGCTTTTAAAGCTCACAAGGAGATCCTGTTAATTTTTTACCTGATAACAACAAGCTCAAGCAAACCTATATTTGTTTAATCCAACATCCTCTAGCTACACTTAATACAATTACATCAATTGCTACTGGATCATTATGTTTAGTGACAAGATTGATTACACTTTGGTGGCGAGGTGAATGGGTACCATTATAAAGACACTCATTGCTGTAACCATGCAACACTTGAAACCAATGAATGAACAAAAGTTTGTGGAATAAACAAAACTGTGTCATAAAATGAACAAGGCTATATCACATATGCATGATACAACAGGAACATAATTATCTGAGAAAGGGTGAGAGAAAGTGCAGCTGAACCTACCAGTGTAAACACTTATTGTGTAATCAGTTTATTTGGAACCCCTCTTAAAATTGTGATATTCCTATGCCCCAAACAGTTGGAAATGTACTTACTACATTCTGCAAATTTTTGGTGGCTACTTTTTATTGTTTGAGCCCCTTTTTTAAGCAAAACTACTGACCAAAAAAACTATCATCCACTCATTCAAATGGCAAAAACTATCATCAATTATCATGTCAAATTTTAACATGTCCAAACTACATGATAGTTGATGATAGTTGATGGTAGTGAATGTTAGTGCATGATAGTTCACATTCAAACAAGCACAATAGTTGAAACTATCATCAGCTATCATGACCATTTGAACAAGGCTTTTAGTGTTTCCAAATTATGTTTAGTTAGACTTACAATGTCTGTGTACAAGCATGTGGATCAGTACAGATTTGAATACAAAAAACACCTCTCCAGTGTTATTTCCTTCTTGAGCAAAGGTTGAAAATTTTCTTGATGGAAAAGGAAGACTCCTTGATTTTGTGAACAAGATTAAGCACAATCAAAATTTCCTAGGTGTATTTTGACAAAATAATGAATTGATTCCAATATTCTTTGCAAAAAAAGGGCATACAAGCTTGAAATACAAAATACATATTGTTTAGTCTGATTACTTTGTCTATACCAAACCTCAATGAAGTGTTCCCACATGATATAGAATGGCTAAATAAAATCATTAAATGGTGCTGCTGGAACTTCTGTATAAATAAGTGGCTTAAGAAACATTTAAAACCAATTAATTAACTCTTCATCCTAACATAATAAGAAAAAGTACTTAAATTATATTTCAGATGGAAAGGATATTTGGCGAAGTCCCATTTTCTTAAGACTCTAGCAGGGATCACTTCCAATACATTGTTATGACAAGTACTACAAAAATATTTTCCCAGGTAGTGGCAGTACCGAAATCGCCTCATGTAATCTAAAGGAAAAAACCACTACTTATTTAAAATACAGAAATTTGTAAATCCAAACTACTGATAAGCAGCAAGAACTCTGCAAACAAGGACTTTGTGTCCACTACAGGGACATGAGGTATATGCTACATCAATTTATTAGAAAAATAATTTTTCTCAGTCTCACAATTGTTTCCAGTAGAGTCCACATGTTCTCCAGCAAAGTCAATGACTGAAGTATATTGTAAACCCCAACAGAAAAAGGTAAACAATCAAAAATTCAAACAAAATATATGAAAACAGTAACTGAAAATAGTAAGGACAAGCACATGTGGTCTAAATATCAAATAAGGGAATCTGCAGTATTTTGAAAGTTTCTCTGTCATAACTCTGAGAAATTAATGAAGAGGCTGTAAAATGAACAAAATGCATGTATACTAGCATATAGGAATTGATAACAAATTTGCCACTGCAATGAGTTTGAAAGCTGATGCTTGAAGCATTAGCCCTTCATCAGAGCAAATTTTGCCAAATTCAGGACCAAGATTCTGGTAAGGGCTCCTAAGTGGCCTACTGATATAATTAAGATATAAAGAGAAAGTCTTTTTTTTCTGTAGATACTAAAAAGAACTTAAATAATGCTTTTTTTAACAACTTGCCTGGAGAGACTGCCATACCACAACCAGCACATCTGAAGTTTTGCTGTCTCATACATTTTTTTTCTCCTGAAATTTGGGCACAAATTAGTTACCTTGGTCTATCAATCATAATAATCAGCCCTTGCCTTCCAAGCACACAATTAATTTTACGTAATTGAAACACAGTTTTTGAAAGAAAGCAAGATGCACTGATCTGTAAGGCTTTTAAGACCATAAATCCACAATGGAATCTTGAATTTATCTCTCTTTGGTCCAAAATAAAGAACCACTTTTCCTAAAAAATTTTCTGATGCAACTTTAAAGGCATTGGCTTCTTTTTTACTTCAAATTTACAAGAGCTGAAAATTTGCCCACGAAACATGCTGCAGCAGCCACTGAAGTTGGAATTTGGTTCGTTTTTTGACAACCTTATTATCAAGCAAAATCCTGTATTTACACATTCTTTAATTTCTTCATACAATATTTACCCTTCAATCTGTGGAATTTCTTTTCTTTCTTGACATATATATTTAGCTTATGATTGTAAAACCATATGAAGAGCTTAGATGACAGGAAGAATCTTAGCAATATTTGAATTTGCCAAACACAGTGTGGAGTATTATTAAATAAACAACTCAAACTCAATTAAAGCTAGTCCCTTCTTTTAAATGCCTAAAAATATTACTGGTTCCCTAAAGAAACTATTCCATCACAAAAATTTACTGCAATGCTAATTTAACACAGATCACCTAGTTTTTGACTATTTAAAAGTTACTCTTTGAGTTTGTGTTGGATATTAGATGGTAAAGCTAACCAGGCATGTAGCACCAAGTTGGTTGTAATAAATCCCATATCATACAGGCCTAAATGGCTTGCTCATCTCACAAATAGGTAACACTCCAAACTGTTCAATATATAGGACACATACCTAGGTGGTTTATGAGTATGAAAAATAATCTGTGCCCGTGGAGGGGCCCATTCTGAGTTTCCCCGAATACGGCTCTGAAATTGAAAGATGCATTGTTTTTTAACAACCATGTTAATCAACCACTTGTTCTTACATACATGTCGACATACATAATAACATAGAGGTTAGATCACTATACAGTGCACAAGAAAATTTTCTATTGGTAACTTCTTATTCACAACATAATGGACAGAATTGCTATTTCATTACTACTCCATTTCAACCCTCATTCCTCCATATTATTATCTTGGTTTCCTTGACAAGCCTTGATCAAACCTTTGTCTTAAAATGACACCTTAGTTATGGATGATTTAGTACTCACTGGCAATGAGTTTTGTCTGGACATTAGTTTATTCTCTAGTGCCTCAACTTGAAGGATATCATCTGGTGCCACAGCCACAGTATCTGGTAGAGGAAGCAAGGACTGAGGAGCATCTTGAAATGATACTAACCATTGCAGTTCCCATGCTGCTGGGTGTTTTTGGTTGGCAAACTTCTGCAACAAGCTTTTGGCTACTGCTTCAGCAGACAACTGGGTATAGTGCAGCTTGGAATTTGGATTATGCACTGAGTCTAATACAGTGTCTGTCACAGAGCTAGGATAAGAGGGTATAGCATTGGATGTACGGAATTCATTGTTTTCCTGAAATTGTTCATCTGTTGGACTTAGTTCTTCCCACTCAGTACTGAGCTCATCTTCACTGTCAAATACAGACCCTAAATGAGACAAAACACTTTGATTTGCTGTTAAAGTAAAAACAATTAGTTGTGACATGTTTCATAAAGTCAGTACATTTTTTTTGGGACAATTATTCAAAATGGGCACCATTGAGACAAATTTTTTTAACACACAACCTTTTTACAGAGGGAGAGTGCTTGAACCCAGATAACTCAAACGTCACATATATTTTTTTGATAACTCAAATGTCAAATATATTTTTGTTGCTTAGAAGCCAAGCACTTCATTTTAATATTCACTCAAAAGAATACCCCAATCCAAAACAGTTTCTTGATTCATTTGAAAAAATCTTTCAATAGGAAACTAAACACCAAGAAATACAAAGAAATGAAAGCCTCTTCTCTCCTTGTTCAATCAATTCTCCATATTATTTTAATGCTAATAGATCACTGTACTGCTTTGACAAGCAGTAATTCTTCCATATCACATGAGCTTTTTTTATAATTACAGTACAGTATCAAAGATAATAGAAGTAATGTGTTTGATGTCAGGTGCCACACAAACAAAATCAATCACCAGCTCAAAGAATCTTTTTCCTTACAGTTAATCATTAGTTATTCTAAGTTCTGAAAAATCTTAGCTGAATTAAAATAAGCTAGAACAGTCAGGTCCATTCATGATTCTTGTTCACTATGCATATACATCACTTGAAAATTCTGGACAGGATACTTTATTTTTTGAGATCCTCTTACAGAAGCCAAGTGTCTGGTAACATTTGCACACTAAATTATATTTCATGTAACACAAATGCAAACTTGTAACCCAAGTGCCATTTGGTGTAAATAAGCCCTTGAAATTCTTTAAGACTATAAATTGCACTTGCCCTATGGGCTCATGCAATTTTAATGGCTTTGAAAAATTTACTTGTGCTTATTAACACCAAATTACACTCAAAATAATGTTTTTACTTATACTAATACAAATACATGTAGCTCATAAAACTATTGCAAGTTCAAGATATACACATATATGTGCTGCCAAGTAATAAACAGGATTCAACCAATACTGCAGTACTCAAGATGCATATCTAACCATCGTTCTGGTCAGTGATGAATTGTAGCATTTCTCCTCCATGAACTTTAATTTTGTTGTTTCAATTCAATAACACTTTGTAAAATTTATGGGAATCGCAGAATCTTGTATTGCTGAGAAAGGAGTATTGACTCATAATTGAATTTAATCTTTGGGTACTTCTGTTTTTTTTTTTTTTCTATTATAATGACTCACTTGAAGAGTTTGTCTGCATGCTGGGTTCAGAGGCTGTAGATTGGGTGGCTTCATCACTAAAGGCAGCCTGTTCTTGCAAATTTTTTCTTTGCCTTTTCTCCCACCTCTTTCTCTCAAGTTCTTTCTTCAAGTAAAGGATTTCTTCATCCTCCTCCTCCTCCTCCTCCTCCTCTGATGCATTGACAGCATCACACTTCATCTGTATGAAATTCAGTCAAGTGACCAGGTTCTCATTCAATAAAATTTTCATTTCACAATATACTAGAGATAATACACAACATAAATTCATTCAAATCGAGAAAACTCTAGGACCCAGATTAAGAAAGCATCATCATGTTGAAGAATTATACTCTCCAAACCATGTACATGTATGATTTTAATTCCTACCATTCAAAACAATGTACAAGCTAACTGTTAAAATACTGTCTTCAAATAGGTTTAAGTCCTATCCTTAGGATGCCATTTTAAAAACAACCACCAACAACAAAAACTCTGTATCTTAGCTATACACATCCAAAACTAACATGTACAAGAACTGGTTCTGCTTTTTTCAAATGGTGGATAATTTTATCCACTGGATGAATCCCTATGTGGTGGATGGTCCAGTATGTTTAGTTTACAGTCATCTGCTGGATAGTGATTTATCTGTTGGTTAGCAATATCCTCCCTTTCAACAACTGGGCCAGGGAAGATTTCACAGATTGGTACGCAAATTACAAAGCAGTGCACAAAATGGTATTTTTAGTTGAATATTTTGAAGAATTTTAAAAAAAAGTGGGCTTACTTTTTGGAGTCTAAAAACATGCTTAGTTTAAAAGAATTGAAACATACCTGTACATTTTAAAAGTGGCAATAAAAATTGCTTTTTAGAGTATGCATCTCCTTTAAAAACTCACAGTGAAAGATTTTGCCAACTTTTGTTTAATGAATGTATTTAGACACTACCACAGTACACTACACTGTTTATATGAAATACAACATTCCTAAACATGTAGAAAGATACAATTTGTTTAACTTATGAAGGCCGTGACTTCTATAAGGTATTAAAATATGAATATGAAATAGTGAAATAAAGAAGTTGCACATATTAAGTGACTTCACACCTGTTCAATTGCTGCAATCAGTGCTTCAGATATACTAAAATGGGCATTCTCCTGTAAAAGAACACATTCAAATGAAGACAAATCACAGCCATAACCACACCAGTGAAGAAGTGGAAAATAGAAATATGGATTTCATTCATTGCTTGCCCAATATCAAGATTTTTTTTAAAAAAAGGATATGCAGACAACAAATTTTGGTTATTAAATAAATTGTGTCATATATGTGATCCCACAAAAAATTTTCAGAGTTGCTGGAAAGGCTTGTTGGCAATAATTTCTGTCACTTTGAATGCAGGTATATGTTTGGTAGATTTACAGAAAAATGCAAAAACAGTTTTTTCTAAATGGGTTTTCACTGTATCTGGCAGCCAGCTCTTTATCATCTTTTCATCACTGATAGGTGGTCCAGTTTAATGCCTGTCACATAAACTTTTCCTATGTTAGCATATCATTTTCTGCTTTTGTTTTTGAATCTTTTGCTATATGAAATTAAATTTTAAAACAGTTGCTGTTAGAGGCAAATACCTTGTCTAATTCACAAGAACTAAAATCCTGTGATGCTAGAAGTGTTGCCAGTGATTTTTCTTGATAAGGATCATCCATGTATGGGTCAATGCAGTACAGAGATTCTACAAGAAAAATTGAATAGTTCCACAAGGTATTGGTAACATCATGCCAAGAATGAAGAATTGCTTCAAATTCTCACCTGATGTAGCAGGAAGTGAAGATGACAATCTATTAAGATCACTGCAGGAATTCTCCTTGTTTCCACCACTTAGAGCCAGATCATTAATGAACTCGTGCTTCTGAATTTGTGTCACACCAAGCTGATCTGACTTTGACCTATTGTGTCCAATAGCTTTCCTAGTTTGATATTCTGTAACAGACTCAGTAGAGCTGTTAACATTTTTGCCACATGATCCTGCTGAGTTAGTTTCAAGGTTGGCTGCTTCTAACATCCCATTGTTTATTAATTTGTCACTTTGAGAGTGCAAAAAATATTTGTTAAGACTACCAGTGCTTGCCCTTCTGACTTTGCATGATTTTTTGTCATCAGTAGCATCCAGCCACATTGCAGTGTAAGGAATACCCTCATCACTTTCCATTACAGCAGACAGTGCTGCATAAGCTAAAGTTGCTCTTACACTATCCCTTGTTTTCAAGGGTCCAAAAGTTGTAGAAGCTTGTGAAGACCAATTTACTTTGACATTTTCTCTTACTATCTGCTCTGTATGGGATCCACTTCTTGATAAACATTGATGTCCAAGAGTTTGATCATTTATGTTTGTCGGTAAATATGAACAGTTATGGCCAGACCCAGGGCAATATTGCAGGTTTTCCTGCAAACCAACTGAAGGGTAAACTGATTCATCAGTTATTTCAATGTTACTCTCCTCTGGAGAATTGTATAATGAGACATTTTGACAGAAGTCCTTTTCACTACTGCAACCTGAGCTGTTTGATGAAGGAAGCTCTTCAACATCTTTTCCCTGGATGTCTTTGTCTATGATAGAGGACTGAAGTAAACCAGTGTTAAAGTTCACACTTCCCTGCAACCACAGATCAACGTACTTTTTCTTGTTCAGCTGAAAGTTCAAAAGACGAAATCTTTAATAATTTGCTCCCATTAAACATCATTTAGTGTCTTAAATTAATGCAGTGTAAATAGCACTCACCAGAATGTTATCAATTTTAGTAAGCAGCTGAAAGTCACCATTCTCTAAAGCTTGTATACAGGTGCACATTGCCTCTACATGTGGATTGCTTCTCAGAAATGCATAGTCTAGAAAATAAATAGTATGTATGGTTGATACACATGTGCCTATTTTTTCTTTTAAAAACATTTCTGTGATCTAGAACTAAGTAAAAAAGAACTGAAGAAATTACAACAAAATTTCAAAAAAACAAAACATCACATTACAGAAGGTAGTGTACCATACGAGTACAATACTGTATAGCTGTGAGTCTAATAGCTGTGGTCAAATCAAAATACTGCACTACAACCCTAATGCTATGATTTCCTTGACTTTTCAATGTCCTAAAACATACAAATAAGAAAAAAAACATAATGTCACATTACTTTCATCCTAAACATGTACTTAACATACATTTTCCCTCTATTCCTCTATTTCTCTTGCATACCAAACAAAAACATAGGCAATTGCTATTAATGCAAGATTAATTTTTTGGAGGGGTATGGGTTGAGTTGCTTTCTTCTTTCTTTACTTGGTAATTGACCTAGATGGTGCCACTAGGGGGTCTCACTTCCCTTGGTAAATTTAAAAATCAACTTTATAAGAAAATATATAGATTGGAACTCCAGAGTTGATAATTTTACTGTAAGCAGAAATTTTTATTCAATTTTTAATTTTCAATTTTTAACTGTATTTTTTCTTTGCATTTTTGCTATTTGAATTTGAAGTTTTAGGGGACCACAATGAGAACTACTGGTTCTACCGGTAACTGTGTTATCCAATAAAGTAATTATTATTATTACTATTATTATTATTATTATAATTATAAGCTAGACTGCTCTAAAAAATTCAGTTCATTGAACTTGTCAACAAACATAGACTGACTTCCATTACTGCCTCAATTTGTATCAATTTGTATGCTATCATCAACTATCACAATCATAGTAAAGTTAAGAGCTCCATTATGTTAGTTAGACTAATCCTCCATTAGACGACTAAGTGTAGTGGAAGGTCCTTTCAGAAGGCAGACTCAGAATGAGTGTAAGTGTCTCCAGTATAGAAGCATCCCATGAAAAGATTTGGATGATGTTAATTAATGTGTTATGTAATACCAATGTTAATTAACATTAATGAATTATCAATCAACAAAAAATGAGTCATCCTGTGCTGAATTTCCCTAAAACCAATATTTCAAGAAGCTAGATAACATATAAAAAACCATAAATAAAACTCTCTGCAACATTGCATGTTCGTTTCCTGTAGGTAAAATATATTCATTTAAACGCTTTAAATACTCACAAAGAGAGGCAAGTTTTGCAGAAAGGAAAAAGGTAAGGATATTTTTAGACAACTGACTTTGGTACTGTATAAAAACTAAAACTTGACATAAAAAAATAACTTAAAAGTTTTACAGAAGAGCTCGTTACTCTTTTACTTACGAAAATTGGAGAACACATTAAGTAATTCAGTCCAACCTGTATTAAGTGGCACCCTATTAAGCTATCACCCTGTATTAAACAATCAGTTTCCTAACTACTGAGTCATCTTGCCATTCCTCATGGGTGACAACTTAATACATGTTCCACTGTGCACCTTTTCAGATACCATTTAATTAAGCTCACCTTGGTACAAGCAATTAATTTTTTTCCTGTTGTTAACCAGCTGAGACAAATTGGAGGCAGACAGAGAGCAACCAAGAAAAGCTTGATGGAATTTCTCTAATATGTCTTCAATAGCATCAGTGAGATCCCCTTGAACACTTTCATCAAATGGGGAAACTACAACCATTGTATTTCTCTCACCCTTGTCTTGACCAGTTCTCTTTTGATAAATAGAAGATGAAACTCAATAAATACAATATCAATTACACACAGCAAAGCTTATGACACACTGTTCCTTTTTTGAAGAACATTCTACAGACCAATGAAAAATTAGGCCTCAACAGACACGGTTCATTGTAATGTTATGAATAGATCTTCTCATTACTCTAGGAAATTAGCATCTACAAAGTCAACTAATGGATTTCAAGTACAACTTAAAATAAATAAGCATACATAAACTTTTAAAATACTGCAAAATTGAATAAATCTGGGCGACTGCCACCTGTAGTCTTCAGAAAGGTAAACTAGCTCATGTTTCCAAATTGCATGAAACATCATTTGATTACTTGTAAAAATTAACACTTCATTTCAGCTTTCCATACTCAGTTTTTCTCGTTCCTTCTGTTAACTACTAATGAATTGAACGTAGACACGTATTTTCTTTGGCTAAAAAATATCCTTGTCTGAGTGTGTATTGAACACAAAATTACAACTGTAGGAAGGAAGAAATCACCAAACACAGAAATTACTATAAATTTGCAACTAATTGTAGCCAATTTGTGATCTTTAACCCCAAAAGATGGTCTTTCATGTACACTTGCTTGAATCTGAAACGCATCTTCGTCTGAAACGTATAAGGAAACAACAAAAATAAAAGGGAAATCCTTACTTGATTTTTGCGTTGTCCATGCTCAAAAATGCGCTCCAAATCAAATTCAACATGGGGAGAACTACCTGTAGTAACTTGGCCATTTTCAAAATTGGACATAAGAATATTTTCTACCGTACATTTGAGCGAATTCAACAACGACCACCTTTCCTCTGCATAATGTGTTGATCCGACCTCTTCGTCCGCCATCTTTGTTGTGGATGTATGACGTCTACTTTAGTGTCCAGGTTTTATCGGCCAAGTTGCTATGAGCGAGAATCAACAAACAACTACTATGTCTCTTGCGGTCTCCTGCATCACAAAATTAAGTTGAACTTCACCAACAAAGCAGACTTTGGTATCTCCTCTCTTACCTGATGTTACCTGAGATAAAGTACCTTGCGATTTAAACTTTCAAGGTACCACTTGATATGTAATTTGTTTTCCAGCACCAGGTACGTATAAGCTTGCATTTCAGAAAATGACAACTAAGCAGGAATAGTCTCAAAAGTAAGGATGTATAGTAAACGGCATCTTAGTGTATTCAAATGCGTGATTACGTTTCTTCAACATTGCTCTGTCAGGTGTGATTTGTAAGAAAGTGAGTGAGTCCGGAACATTTGACTATTTCCGGAGGTTATCGTCTGGTGTCGGTAGTTTTTCGAATCAGGTTCGGCAATGTTCGTTGATGTGGTTACTGGCTTAGCCAGTAACGCCCTATTAATATTTATGATCAAGTTGGAATATAACGCGCGATGTCATTGGCTGAAAGAGCGTGCTCCACCAGAGTAGAGAGCATAGAGGTTAGCTAAAGCTGTCATGCCATCTGCCAAATTGCATCATGTCCAACCTTTTCCAGGACTTTTCTCTAGTTTTTTTTTTTTGCGATTGAAAGTGAAATTTCGGAACTGGCAAGTCAGAAAATAGCAACAGACAAACCAAACAACAATTAGTAAACATGCCAGGCGCTGTAATTGAAGAATGATGAGAGCAGAGACTATTAATATTTATGATCAAGTTGGGATGTAACGCGCGATGTCATTGGTTGAAAGAGCATGCTCCACCGGAGTATAGAGCATAGAGGTTAGCTAAAGCTGTCATGCCACCTGCCAAATTGTACCATGTCCAACCTTTTCCAGGACTTTTCTCTAGTTTTTTTTTTTTTTTTGCAATTGAAAGTGAAATTTGGGAACAGGCAAGTCAGAAAATAGCAACAGACAAACCAAACAACGATTAGTAAACATGCCAGGCGCTGTAATTGAAGAATGATGAGAGCAGAGACAAAAAATCCTCAAAGAGAAAACGAACTGGACAGACCAAGTTTTGAAGGTTTTCACACCCAATTAGATTGCAAGTTTACAGATGGTAATAAAAATCAAACACAGCTAACACTCATGTAGTACATAGTTTTGTGTTCAAAAACAAAACAGAACAAAACCGGAATGATAAAAATAAAGCCAAATTGGTGACTGGTAAAATTCATACTAATCATGATGGTGTCAGAGTGACCACAAGCATGCTGAGGTCCAACACAGCTAGCTCATCATGGTGATCTCCAGTTATCGCAGTCAAGTAAGCCACAGAAATACAGCGGCCACCCTTTGAGAGAACAACTTAGAGCTAGCTCTGATATCTTTTCTGATGCGATGAGTGGAAGGCCACATCAGTCATGGAAGCTAAGTTTTAAGGTGCTGTCATGCCGAGCGATTTTCACTATCTGGTAAATTGAGCTGTCATTCATTCATAAAACACATGCTTGAACAGGTTGTTTTCTAATTGTCATGTGAAAAAACTTGTGTGTTTTATGAGTCACAATTAAGCATTTCAGAACATTTCACTTTCAGATTCTGCATTAGAGACTAAAAAACTTCAGGCAAAAGTGTTAAATTCAACCTGCCAAACTATTAAGCTTGTAAACTATTGGAGAATGTGAACTTTAATGGTTTTAGAACTGTGATGGTTTGATATTTTTGACAGCGTTAGTCTTGTACAGCCAATCAGATTTTTCAAACCATTCTAACAGGGATTCTGATTGCCTTATTGTAACATGCTTTATGAGAGTATGGAGCATAAATGACTGTCAATGTATGAAAGTCATATATTTGAATTGCAGAAATTACATTGGGAAATAGGTGTGCCTTGCACATACACTGTATGTTATAATTATAATATTTGATATTGATATCCTTTCAAAGATTATGAAATGGCCAATAGTATCAAGAAAATTACATGATGAGAAGAAATGGTCCAGTACCATCAACTGCAATGAATATAATAGTGATCGGTTGAATGTAAACATGCACATGAACCAAGTTAAAAAATTTTAATACATTAAAAATGGCCTATTGTACAACCAATGGGAGGTAATTATCTGTCACTTTCACTGACACTGAATTGGATAATTATATATACCAAGCAAGAACTACAATTTCTGTTGATATACAGAAAAACAGTAATAAGTTAGTCTCTTGTGTAGTTTTGTCTACTATGTGTATTAGCTGCTTGGAGAGGAATACCTGTCCGTAGTAATTAAGTGAATAGTACTTTTCACTTTCAAGCTAATAGTTTAGCATGCACAAAAAGTACCAAAACATTGCACCACCTTAGAAATTGAAATCCTTAAATCAATTTTTTTTTGTTATATTATCTCCAGCTGCTACAGATACAATGCCAGTGGGAAAAAAGGCAATTAAGAAAAAAGCAATAGGAAAGAAGAGTGCCAAAAAAGGATTGAAGGGTCTACAGAGTATTGCAGATCTTCTGAAGTCAGTCAGGCACCAATATGAAGTGAAATGCAAGGATTTCAATAGTTATGTACATCCAGATGTGAAGAAACTTATCAACCAGTATGCTGAAAGTAACTCTCTTTTGGCAAAGGTGAGTAAAACAAAAACATACCTGCTTACTTTTTGGTAATTACTGCAAGTGTGTAAAGTGCTACTGAGAGGTTGGTGCAGGAAAGGGACTGGTGTTGTGGTTCAGTAAGAGTTAATAAGGTGCATAATGTGAACCCCTCTAATATTGCATTCCTTTTACCTGTTACTGAGAAGCTTGCTCACAAGGTTTTGTCATAAAGTGACATTAGATCAAGGATGTTTTTGTAACAAAGTGAAATGGTGTCACTAGAGAGAAAGTCAACCTTTTCAGTTACTCAGTCATCCTGATTTATTTTAAAAGACCATGGATACAAATACCAGAAGTGAGTGAAATTCAGGATTTAGGCAAGATATTCATTATGTATATAATTGATATGATTCCACAGTATAGAAAAGCAACATGATTGTTTTCTTTCAAATATTAATAGCAGATAACTGGTGCTATTTTGGATGGAGCAGCCAATTTTTTTATTTGTAAATATAAAATACATGTAATAGACAGGTGTTGGTAATATACTTATCAAGAACAAACATTACAAAAAAACATCATTCACCTTGCCTACTTTGACAGTCCCCTATGCTTCAACCCCAAATTACACATGCAGTGCAGCAGCTTGTCACACATACTCCATATGGTTCCATGTACTCAAGGACCTACCAACAGAACAATGTGCCATGCACCTTGACTACATTTTCTCAGCTAGATGGGTGATGGAACTTAAAGTACAGCATTGTGTTTTGCTTGCACTGCAAAAGGTCCAAAACGTTTTTTGTTTTTTTTTGGCAATTATAGTTTTTTTTTCTCCCCTATACAGGAGAAAGTTTATTGAACAGAAATGCACAAGTGATTAAGAGTTCAAGGACAAAATACAAATATTTGTAAAGCATAATTTGAATGTGGCTATTAAGCAGCATATTGCATTTGCTTTCATTGGTGGATTTTGTTAGTGTTGGTACAAGTAAGTGTATTTCACAGGACTGAATTCAGAAACAAAATTTTTCATAATGTTGTTCATTGGGCAGATTCACAGGGCTGACTATGTAAAGCATGAATCCTCCCCTGTTGACTTACTTTTCTTGTTTGTCAACAGTTTATTTTAACCCCAGGTCCAACAGATGAAATACCTGTAAAAGTCTCACCACTTGTGGCAGCTATAAGGAGTAATCGATATGTTCATGTCAAAGAGATCTATATCTGGGATGTACCAATGAAACACGAGGATATTGCTACACTGGTTTGTTCAATGTTCTTTTTACTGTATCTCAGGGGAAAGTTCTAAGTTAAACATGATTAAAGCACAAACTACTATTAATAGCAACCCATGTTCATTATGTGAATGAAAAAAAAAAGAAGACCAAAAAAACAGAACAACATATTCATTCCCTCAGACTTTTGGGGGCTATAATCATTTGTTTATGACTTCAGCCCTTAATCTAAGCTTTGCCACACCCAACCACCCATTTTGTCTTATTGATGACATGAGTTACAGTTAGATCACACCATGGTTAGATCGCTCCCAGTTAGATTGCTCCAACCAATTAAAAGTTAGATCGCTCCATCAAATAAGTGACTTTGCTCCTAACATAATTTAGTTCACTCCATGTAGAAAACTAAGGTAAAGGTAGCAAAACTAAGGTATCTAAATTGATAGTTCATTAAATGTCGTGCATATCTTACCTAACAATGGATTAATATTGCTCACACACACTTGAAATAAATCTGAACTACGCAGAAAGAACAAATAAAGCCTCATGTAAGAGCCTCACAAAGTGTAATCTGCTTTATTAATTAAAGATGGTGGATATCAGTTTCCTTACATCAAACAGCAAAAAAGGCCACTGATTGATCTTTTTCAATACACTTCAGACTGTAACATAATTTATTCCACAATCATTTATTCCTAAAAACTTTAAAAATCATTTGTTTGGAGCAATCTAACTGGGAGCAATCTAACCTTGGTGCCATCTAGCCAGATACCAATGACATACATTTATTGCTTAGTTTTGAAAGTTTGGCAATTGTTTTGGTTATTACGGTAAGTTTCATGTCCATCTGTTATTACACCCAAAATCCCATGGCTAATGTGGCATATCTTTATTTCAGCAGCATTATTGTTCATAGAGAAAGATGTTTTTTTGTCTTGTCATGAGCATGGGACAAAGAAAATATTGTGATCGAATCCCAATGAGGAATCAAACCTCAGACCTTCAGATTCTGGCTCCAATTCTCTACCACTGAGCCACAGAGACTCTATGGTGAGCAAGGCCCATTACAAAGTTCATATGTGACATGCATCCTGTATACTGCTAGGATCAGCCAGAATGCACCATGTTTGCAAATGGAGTAAGAAAGAATTTTGAGCTTGCATGGTAAAGCAATAGAGAAAGATGTTTTTTGTCTTGTCACAAGTGTTGGACAAAGAAAATATTCTGAGTCCCCATAATCTTAGCAGTATGCAGCACACGCATTATGAACTTCGTAATGGGCCTCGCTCACCATAGAGTCTCTGTAGCTCAGTGGTAGAGAATTGGAGCCAGAATCTGAGGGTCTGAGGTTTGATTCCTCTGTTGCTGGTTGGTAGGGCATCAGAAACAGA